GGCTCGTGCGAGAATTTCGGTGCGCCGTGCTTTGCAGGCAGTGTGGCCCTGCTGTTAGTTCCCACCCCCACCCCTCTCTCCTGCTCGCTGTGCGCTTGGCGGAGAGGCAGACACAGGCTGTAAAATGACGTATGCGGTCCAGTTGGTCTTAAAAAAAAAAAAAAAAAAAAAACGGTCCAAGATGGAGTACCGAACCGAACTGGTATTACCGAGAACCGACCCAACCCTAAAAAAGACCAGTACCAATTTTCATTCAAGTTGATAATTACAGATAACACACTGTGTGCTTTTTCTTTTTCTAACATTGACACTGTTCCTTTAAAGACAGGTGTTTTTTGTTTTACAGAAGAGGACTTCTACATAATATGTCACGTGGAAGATTCAACAGTTTGGACTGGATTCCTGTATTCCTACACTCTCCTGTATTACCATGTATCTTTCATTGTCTGTAGTTAATAAGAATAAGTAAATACATAACAAGTATATATATAAAAACACTTTTCTTTAACTTGCTCCATTTAGCATTTATGAGCAGTGTATATACATATAATAAATGGTTTATAACAGACTATAGTGTAGTTCCACGCAGATATTTATTAATGTATTTGACAACAACTTAAAAAGAGAGAGTTGCCCTGGCGCTATTACTACTGTGCATTAATAAACACTTTAAAATGTCCTTATATCTGCAAGCAGCCACATTTAAGTGCTGTAAACCATGTACAAATGTTTATTTGGTGCTTGAAAATAATAAATGGTCCTCTGATACATCATCTTTCTGTTTGTCAAACACAGATTCATTTCATGACACAATGACAACATTAACAGTTAAAGTGAAGCCTCGTCTCTGAAGACAAATTAACTTCCATGTGTGTAAAACACACTGTCTGTTCCTCCCAAAAACACCCTGGAGATCCCCCCCCCCCAACAGCTCACACTACTTCCTGACAAAAACTCCATTATGTTAATGTTGCCTGGCAACAGGACTCCAGACGGTACCGGAAAAGAAAAAAGAATCCCTGGCTAATATTGATTTGTACCAATATTGGTTCCAGGAAGTAACAGCTGGATAACTGTAACCCTTCCACTCTTAAGTCTTTGAAACTCCAGAGGAGCAGGTGAGAGAGCAGCAGAGGGGTGACAGCAGGGAACACATCGACGCCAAGATGATAGGAGTGAAAGGATACGTCACGGATCAATACACCCTGCAGCACAGTACAATCTTTACCTCATCTTGACTCAACCAGGCTTTATTCACAGTTTCCTTCTCATTGTGATTTTTTTTTCATCTTGACCTTTAACACGTTGGCTCGATATTCTTTCTCTGCATCCCACAGGAACATGCCTTTTCCAGGAAGCCTCTGAGCATGCTCTCTGAGCTTCACTCCATGGCCTGTTGATCTACAGTACACTGGCCAGACATGTACAGTATGCAGATGTTTTCCTACCAGTCGTCATCATTCATTTCCACTGCATCACCACCTCACTCCCTCTCTTCGTCCCAGTTCTCTGCTGTGTTCTCCTCATAAATTTGTAAATATGTTCCCTTTCACCTTCCTCCCTCCCACCCTGCCCCCTTCTCCCTCCAACACCCACTACAAACACAGCAGAGCACCAGCTCCACACACTCCCATTGGCTGGCAGTGACATCACTTGTGCAAAGTGTCGAGTCAGACTCAGACGGCTCCTTCTCTCTGACAGCTGATGCCCCCTTGTGCCCACACAGAAAACTGCAGTCCTTTAAAATAAAAACACGCTGTGTTTTGGAGTCTACTTATCAGCTGTCCCCATGTTCAACATCTGCAGAAGGACTGAGATACACGGACCCCAGATCAGCCATAACAAAGGACTTTCACCTTCTCTAAGTCATCTGATCCCAAACAGGAGCGGAGGATGTCAGCAGAGTAAATTGGCTTATGTTGTGTCTGAGCGTACGCACCATTAGAGTGAATTAGACTGGAAGCCTTCCTGATTAATAAAACTAACAGGATCATGTTCAGGTGCTCATGGTTACTTACTGCACGGTGTAATCTGCCCTCTGCTGTTCTCAAGTTACTAAGCTACACGCTGCACCACCACAATCTGATGTACTGCCTCGTGTTTACATCAAGCTTTATTGGTCATTTTATTGTTTCGATTTTTTAATTATATTTGTGAATTAGGCCAGGAATATGAGATAAAATCAACTGTAAAATCCAGAATTAGTTTAATTTTGATGTGTTTAGAATTGAGATAAGCTCTGCAACAAATTATTTTTCCTTTGTAGATTAATAAAATGATTGTTTTTAGATTGACTCATTAATAACATGTTCTCAATGTGTCAGAAAACTGAATGCCAAATGCCAACAGTCCAAAACCCAAAAATATTAAGCTCATTTTCTGTTTAGACAAGGACAGACATAAAATTATTGATATTTTTGTTTGATAAATGACTTTAATAAGTATCAAAATAGTTGCTGATTAATTTTCTATAACTGAACTAATCGACTAATTGTTGCAGCTCTAATTTAGACACTGATGTTGACTGAATTTGTCTGTCTCCAGCAGTGGTGTGCAAGTTACTGTAAAGCAGTAATTAGTAAAGTTACTCATCTAAAAAAGGAATTAAATAACTTTACCAATTACTGCATTTAAAAGTAATTAGTTACTGTGGAAAGTAATGTTTGCGTTGCTTCAATTCTCCTGTGATGCACAGTATATTATTTCAGTGTTGCTGTGTATGATGATTGTACCGTTTATCACTATGATGAAAAGAAAGTAGTGGAACAATAAAATAAAATAAAATATATTTAGATCGTTCTTTTCAATGTAGCCTCGACAGGCTTTCAAATCAAGCAACACAATTCAGTGTTTGATACGCTCATTTACTAATAATGACATAATTGTTGCTCAGACATTTGACAGAAATTTCTTATTATGACAGGCCTGATTAAATTAACACTTTGAAAACTAAGCAGATTGGCTTGATTTAAGCAAGAAATGACCCCAAAAATGAGTGAGAAATTGGTAAAAACAGAAAAATAAAAACAAGAAAATTAGTAAAAAAAAAACAAACAAACAAAAGACCTGGAAAGAGTGCCTAATTATAATAATTCTGTGGCAGAATTTTAAATTGTAGTAATAATAATAATAATAATAATACAGTTTTTCTCTACCTTTTTCCTTATTTTTAAAAAATAATTTTCTAAATAAGTAATTTTTTTTGCAATTTGTGGGACACTTCTTACCAACCTATTCACTGCCTTTTTTCCTTTTTCACTTTTCACTTTGCTCAGGGTTCAAAGGTTCAAATACTTGTAAGAGGTGTCTGAAAGCAGCATAAGCAAAGTGAAGTTTCAAAGGGTTTAAGTGATAAAAGTTTGACCTTTTTACAAAAACATAATCACACAGAGGTTTATCCTTTAACCTTTGCAGTAATTCAAATCCTGTACATAGACTGTAGCTCACGACTAAAGGCCTAATTTGGGGCGTCGGTGGATTAGTGGGTAAAGCAGGCTCTCCATGTACAAGGCTGTTGCTGCAGCGGCCCGGGTTCAATCCAGCCTGTGGCCCTTTGCTGCATGTCATCCCCTCTCTCTCTCTCCCCCCTTCACTCTAACCTGTCCTGTCCATTAAAGGCAAAATGCCCAAAAAATATCTTAAAAAAAAAAACTAAAGGCCTAATGTGTCCTTGATCTCAAGGAGGGAAAAATAATATCCATGTTTCCAGGAATGCAAACATACCTGAACTGTTGGCCACTGTGTGCAGTGATGGTCTAAAGCTGATTGACTGACTGATGGAATGATTCACGCCATCTATGGCAGCGCTGTAAGACTACTGATGCACTGGTCAACTGGCGTTGCGTAAACTGTGTTTAACAGAGACATTCTGCGCCAAAGTACACCTAGCACCTTCTCTTCCCCTTCCTCTTTCCTGTCTCCTTATTTGTCTCTCTTAGGGATGCATGATATCGATTTCTATTCATCCACATATAATGGGAAATTAAGCAACTTTAGTCCCCAAATCCTCTGACTCTACCTTGTTTACTTGTATGCTTGTACCCTGGTTTATATCTATTTTTATATGTATTTTCATTTATGTAGGCCTACTTATGTAACACCCTGGTGTAAGACCATGTATTTGTGTTTGCATTGTGCAGCACTGTTATGTAATTGTCTGATTTATATGTATTTATAAAGACTGTTTCCCTCAGGAAAATAATAATTCATAGCCTTTTGCTTTCTGAGGGTGTTGTTTTACTTGCTTACTGAACTTACTGAAATTTTCTGTAAAAACAGATGACGAAGACCTGCAGCGGATGAAGCATGTTGGCTCTTCTAAAGATTTAGCGACTACAATAAAGGCTTTTCAATACTTCCTTCCTTGTTTTGTATATTTATGGAGTGCCTGAACGGCCCTCCTGTGGATCCTGTTGTTTCCCATTCTCCGTGAGCACCTGACACAAGGTTTTGATCTGTGTTTGATTATACACAGCACCAAGTCGTCTCTTTTTTTCTGTGCAGAAATCAACATGTTGGCCGATTCCAAAATTTCATTTTAAAGCCAATATTGGCTGATACCGATGACGTGCCAATATTATCGTGCATCCCTAGTCTCTCTCAAACACACACAAGATAGATAGTTAGTAAGCACATCACTACAGGTGACGTTAGATCATAACCTGGTGCTTTTGTCGGCTATGATCAAAAGAAAAGTTACGAGCAACAAGACCATTTAAGTTTTGGTTGCTGTAATTGCATAATTTACTTGTAAAAGTAATTAGTTATATGTCTAGCTACCCCCCAAAAGTAATGGACTTACCATAGCATGTTACTTTGAGAGTATGATGTGTGATACTGATCACAGACCAGACTGAAAAACCCTTAGATATGGCGAGAAAGTTGGGCAGCATTTGAATCTTCGACTTCAGCTACAGAGGCAGAAACTGCAGAACTAAAGTCACGTACTTTCTATTAGTTGATGTAAATTAATAATAAGTCATATCTTTAGTGTTTCCTACCTTGCGGCTCGTGTAGTGGGCGTGTTTGGCCAGCTTGCCATTGAGTCCTTGGAGGAAAACCTCATCCGTGACTTTGCCCACGTTCATACAGGCTTCGTCCAGCACAGAGAAGATGCCCTTATGCTGCTGCTCCACCAAATCCACAATGATCTGGTTATTGAAGTAATCAATCTAAGAACACAGGACACAGAGGATACAAACAGTGCTAAGATGACAGCAGGCTATCTGTTTGTACAAGAGAAAATGAGAAAAGTATTAAAAGCAATTCCTGAAATCTTCGTGAATCTGAGAGACAATCACGATGCATTGAATAATTAGCCCAGTGTTTTCTATACATTGATATATTTGTGGCGGCCTGCTACAATACCAACACTGACTGCCAAATATTTTTTTTTTTTTTTTTTACTATTTAAAGTCCAGTAACAGATGAAATAAATTAATTGAAAAATGTGCTACTCTGGCTGTGATGCAGCCGCCTCTCTCTGTCTGCAGTCATCACTCTGTTGCCTCTCTCAGTGTCTCGCCCACAGCACTATCTGATTGATTACACGTCACAAGTAATGGCCTATACACACTGAATGTGTTTCCCAGATGGGGGCAAAAGGAACACAGACTGGAGCTGTTGTTAAACATCACAATTCAATACCATGAAGTTGCAAACAGAGACCAGTCTTTTCTCTGGTAATGTTCTGCTGATGGTAATTTACTCGAATGTAACTTTAGTTGTACGAGTATGAGGACTTCAAGGAGAGGAAGGAGGATTGAGCTGGTGTCTGCATGTGGCGAAAGATGTGACAACTTCATTATAGTTTATAAAAGTGTCACATTTCATACACCAGACGTTCAACCCGAGCTGGACCGTTCATATTCGAAACTGCAACTAGAAACAACCCTAACCACAAACAAAGCAAAAAACAAAATGTCCTCCTTACATGTTTCCAGGGGATGCCTTCTCGCTGATACTCTTCCTGCTCCTGCTTCAGCACCAGTTGGATGAACAGCTGCTGCAGCTTTTCATTACAGTAGTTGATGCAGAACTGTTCAAAGCTTCAGAGACACAGGAGAGTGAATGTTATGTTAATCTTTTGTTATAGATGCAACCACATATAGTACTAAGTCTATACAGTGAGGTGTAATGCTTGCTGTGTGTTACAGTCAGGCATGGGTGGTATCAAGGTATTCCAGTATACCAAGGTAATTGGAAATCCCAAATTCATGATGTTCAATACTGTCAAAAATACAGATGACTCCCCTTTTTTATTAAACTGATACAGAGACGGTGTGTTGAGGTGATATAGTGCCCAGCACACACCACCAGAGGTCAGTCTCTACTGGTGGAACAGGCAGCTGAGCTGAGAACGATGGTGACTGCAATTGATTGCAACTGGTGAGGGCAATGTTACAGGACTGGTAAAAAAAAAAACAAGCTTTTGCCCTTGTTTAGGAGTATAGAGTGCCGAAGTCACGCCCCTTCCGGTAGAGCTCATGGGACCTTAGATCGGAAAAAATATGAATGGCAGTGAATGGGGAGAGCAATATTAGCGTTTGTTCCCGTTTGAGTTGCAACATGAAATCTAAATATGTTGTTTATGAATTTAAAACATAAATTTTAAGGTCAAGAAAGTCATACTTCGTGGTAAAACTGTTGAGATATAAGCTTTTGAAAAAAACGTAATTAGAAAAACTACACAGGAGGCGGTCGCGTATGTGACGTCATAGCTTTCGCTCGCTTCGCTGGAGTGACTGCAACCTGGCACAGACATCTTCAATCATAAATCCATTAATTATAAAACAGTGGAATTTCAGCGGGGAGGCCAAGCTGCAGGAAGCGAGCGAAAGCTATGACGTCACATACGCGACCACCTCCTGTGTAGTTTTTCTAATTATGTTTTTTTCAAAAGCTTATATCTCAACAGTTTTATCACAAAGTATGACTTTCTTGACCGTAAAATTTATGTTTTAAATTCATTAACGACATATTTGGATTTCATGTCACAACTCAAATAGGACCAAAAGATAATATTGCTCTCCTCATTCACTGCTATTCATATTTTTTCCAATCTAAGGTCCCATGAGCTTAACCGGAAGGGGTGTGACTTCAGCACTCTATTGTCACTAGGGATGTCTCGATCCAATCTCAAAGATCTGGATCGGGGCTGATCAAGGCATTTTTTAACTGATTGGCATTGGGTATATAGAGCTATATAGAGGATCTGATTCTTTGTTTAATGTCAGCTGTCACACAAGTGTTTTAAGTCATGAAGCTGTCATGCAGAGACATGCAGAGTGCAGCCGTCTCCAACTCTCCACTCTTCTTTTCGCCTCCACTAAGGCCCTCAACACAACGTGCCATAACCTACAGTCAAAATGCAATATGAGACTGTTTATGTTTTCAACCAAAATTGTGAGCACTGGTTTTATTTCAGCTAAGTGTGAAAGTCTTTATCCGCAGCTGGAGTAGAGATAGACAGCAGTGCAGAGCCAACAACGACCACTCTCCCCACGCCACTGCAAAGTGCAACAAAAGTTCCTGGAGCAAAAAACACATAAAGGTCCAAACATACTCGGGCGGAACGTACATGGAGCGGACTCTGCGGAGGTCCGCGCGGACTCAAAGCAGACGTTCGCAAGCCCTGTGCACGCAAAGCTCAGATTTTACGACCGCGTGGACTCCGCTCTGCTCACCAGTGACTGCTCGACATTTATTTTTCACATCGCAGGGATTTTTCACGGACATTTTTACAGGAAACTACAACGCGGAAGTGCGCTCGACTATGAAAGCCTGAATGACCGCGGACATTCCTCGCGGAGTCCGCTCCGCTTATAGTACGCCCGAGTATGTTCGGGCCTTAAGAGTTTTATAATAATGTAGCTTAATCTGCATAAAAGATACAGATGTGCAGATGATGAAAATAAACACTGAGTGAAAAACCATTCAGTCAGGTAAATCAGGCAAAGGCTGCACGGAAACAACACTCGAGGATACTCTCTTCAAGGGACAGAGACATTCCCTCAAGACAGTGACAAGGCCACAAAGATTAAAGGGAGGGTTTATTATTTTAGACCTATTTACTTATTTTGTAGAAAATACAGCTTGGATGCAAGATTTTAATGCACTGCATAGATTTTCAATTGTCAAGCATAAACATTTGATTCAGACAACTTGTATTATCTAGGAAAACAGAAGTATCCAATCGGGACTTGGTATCGGCTGATGGGGACATGCCTGTCAGGCATAACTTTATCTTGAGATGACCTCTTCCAACTACAAAACAGTTGTTTAGCCACAAGTTTATTCAACACATCATCTCTTTTCTGCCCACTGATGTGTCGGTATCTGTCTTGGCAACAAGTGTCATTGGGTCCTCCAGCAAGAAGAGGGCTCATTTCTTAACTATTCATTATTCTATGGACCATTAGTATTTAAATCCAGCAAGACTAACAAGGCTAACTGCATTGTGGAAACGTTGTAGACTAAACAACGACATAGGTGTTTCAATGAGTTCTGTCACCAGTAGCTCAGCTTTTACATTTGTTTGTTTTTCCCACTCTAATACCGTCATATACTGTATATCTCTGTGAAATGTCAGGAAGGTATAAAGGTATAAAAAATAGATACCGCCCAGGTACAAGCAATACAATCAAATGTTAAATATGGACACAGATGTAAAATCTGTGTTGATGCTTCTTGTGTTGGTGGAATGTTCTGTCTCATCCGAACCTGTTGTTCTGGAAAATCTCAAAACCGTAGATGTCCAGCACCCCGATGACGGTGTTCTTCCCGTGGACTCTGGCATCGTAGTTCTTCACCTCGATGATGTCATTGATTCGTCCCACAATCCAGCAGAACAGGCGCTCGTACATGGCCTGAGGACGACAATGCATTCACAGTGAGTAGTCGGCTAATTGGGTGCTAGCTGGTGAGCAAGTGCGTTGCTCAAGGGCACAGAGCAGTCTGGCACAGATGGGCCGCTGAAAGTGAAATGTCACAATGTCAGTGAGTCAGACTTTTGTTCACAGCCCACGGTGCTGGTTTAGAAACTGCCTACATACATTGCTTCCTCCACAGTCTCCAGCCTCTGTCTGGTGTCATAACATTGTGACTCATGCTTGTGTGAATCAGTGTGAATTGTGGTAAAAATATCGCCATGCACTAAGTGAAATGTCACAACCCTCCAGGCTCCAGCTGGCCAATGTTGTTTTGTTTCTTTTTCTTTTTTATGTGAAAGTGCTCCGCCTGACAGACGACCAGCAACTTGTAATTTTCTACCCTCCCAACAATAACCTTGGCGAGAGCGTCCCGTCCGTAGCTGGCCTCTTGTGCCGTGTGCTGCTTTTCTATGACGTCTCGACCCGTGGCCACGGTGCGGTAGAGCAGCGCCTTCTCCACGTTTTCTTCTTTGGTGGAAAGCAGATCCCTGATCACAGACACCAGCTTTGTGTTCTCTATCAAGGTCACGTCACCGTCCACCCCGAATGTCATGTTGCCCTGAAAGAGGAGCCAGAGAGAACGGATTATTCTGCAGTGCATAACAATTTGGTTCAAGGCACAGTTCAACAATGTGGGAAATGGGCTTAGTCGCTTTCTTGCCAAGAGTTTGATGAGAAAAATGAGACCAATCCTGTGTCTGTGCACTTCATATGAGGCTACAGCTAGAAGCAGTAGCTTATCTTAGCATTGAGACTGAAGGCTTGACTGGCTACTGGTACTTCCAGCTCATAACTCCCAGAAAGACCACAATTTTTAAAACTCTTAACAAATAAACAAGATATAATGTGTTAATTCAAATTTGGAGCCAGACTAACCATCTCCTCCTGTTTTCTGTCCTGATGACTAATGCTGTCTCAAATCGTGTACTTCTGTACTTACATGTGCATTCACACTGAGAAGTATGGAAAAATGCAGTGCACTATGAGTACCCGGATGGTGCACTCAAAACGGTCAAGAAGTTGAGTGTGGAACTATGGACACTTCTCGCCCTCAATGGTCGCCATCTTGGCTATGTAGCGGAAGGGGAGGGACCACTTTTCAAACTGGAAATGGCGGCCAAGGACTGTGCGACCGTGAATGTTGCTACATTTTACAAATACATGTGTTTTTTGCACGAAGCACCACTATACTGTTATATAGATATAGATATAAGCCAGCAGTATGTTTATTGGGTTAATTTAGCAGTCTGTAATGATTTGGTACTGTGAACAATAACGCAAATGCTAATGCTAGTTTGCTAACTAGCTAATTTGCGGTCGTCATTTCCGGTGAGTGCACAACGGCCTTGTTTGGTTTGAGATAACACTACCCTGTCAAAATTCACTCACTACGCCAATAAGTACATAGTGCACATAGTATACTACATGGAAGTGTACTACGGGAAGTATGTGTTTTGAGACACAGCATAGGATAATCAACTGCTAGCTCTAGCTTTATAATTAGGGCACTAAAATGAGAGTGATATTGAACGTCTCATCTAACTTTTGGCAAGAAAGCAAATAAACATACTTCCGGCTGAATGTTGACCTCGGTTTAATCAGAGCACTTATTTCAAAGAATATCCTCTAAAAATCAACATTATCTTACAAACATGACAGTACTAACTAAAACTTGAAAAGTGTACTCAGGAAAGTGCAGGGGTCTCATTTATAAACATTGCGCATGCACAAAATGAGGCCTGAATGAGGCGTACGCCACTTCCCACGCAAAAGTTGTGGTCTCCGGTTCAAAATGAGACCAAACTTTTCTATGGATGTCAGTTTCTGAGCCATGACGAAGGCCGTGGCTCAGAAACTGACATCCATAGAAAAGTTTCATTTTTTGCTGCTTTACACAGACTTTAAATGCCTTTTTCTCTATACTTTTACTATGTGATGTTGTTGAGGACTTGTGGCCTTGTGGCTGGTTGAGAGGAGCGAGGAGTCAGCAGCCAATGACGGTATAATACTGTCAATAAAGCAGGGATTGTGAATCACCGCAACCCTCAAAGGTGCTTGAGCATACAGTCATAATTATGCACACACACATAAGGCTGATTGGTCCAGTAGTTTGCAAGATGAGCACCCAACCCTTACACCTGGCAGAGATGGTACTGTGTTGGAACTTAGTCTCTGTTTTCCCTGTAACTGGTACCAGTCTACACAATTCTTCACATGAAACTTGCCTGGAAATTATCAGGAAACTATAGACCTGTCAAATAAACAGTTACAAAACATTCTGCTGCTGCTTTTACATTGGACTCAGCACTCAGTGGTAAAAAGAAACAACAAAGTACACACAGGTGCATTTTCTAATCCTCACACTCTCTATCTTGGCAAGGACACTGGTCCACTTTGCCAATATGGTGCTCACTGCCTACAGTCTATACACAGTATCTCCCAAACTGGGACACAGCTGGCACAAGTAAACAAGCAGGGATTTTGATATTATCGGGTATTACCAGATGTAGGATGGTGGCCACGATCTTGTAAACAGTCTGAATCTCATCCCCTGTGAAACCGATCACTTTCATGGCATCGGCTACGGCTTTGAAATCAGCTCCATCATTGATGGAAGACTAGAAGGAAAGAAAGGAGAGATGTTGGAGAAGGACGACAACAAATCAGTGAAAGTAAACATTGCTAAAGTTAATTGCATTGGACCATTGGTTGATTTTTCCTGCTGAGACAAATATAAATGTGGATAAACGACAGTTCTCGTGTGTTTTGTCCCGCAGTCACAGCCTTTCCCTTTCTCTCCCAATTAATGCAGCAGGGATATCAAATTCCCACAGTTAATTAAATTACAAACTGCTGCTGAACTGTGATGTTTCGTTATAAAAATAGGAGCCGCTGAGGCACACAGTGTACAAACCGCCACCTCAGCTGTTTGGTTGCGTTGTGTTCCATGACATCAGGCTGTTTGCTGCTGTCAAGTGGTTTTGTTCCTACTCATTAAGCCTGTGCAAAGACGACGGCCCACAGCAGAGGTCCACATAGAAAACACTCCTCTGTACAGTAACACAGAGATGACGATAACGGAAATACCTTCTCTAGAGGCAATACCTCACACTCGTACCCTGGTGTGGGGCAAGTGTGGTGAGGAAACAATCGTGCGTTTGATTGTATTTATCTCTGCTACCTCTGTTTGCATGTAAAATGAATTGAAAGAACCACCTTAATTTGGCCTCCAACTTTGATGTAGTTGTAGGCCGTCGGATCCTTCTGGATGTGAAGAGAGCGTAAGAGGGAATCTGGACCTCCTCTAAGCAGCTAGTGGAGGAACAAAAATACACACACGTCATACAGTACCTTTGTGTTTTGCATCAATACAAAGACATTATATAAGTCAAACTACCACCAAATGTAACTTCTAACATCTTAAATTAATGTACACACCACAGCTTGAGTTATTAGCATGCTCATCGTGTTTGAATCTAATGCATCTTCACGTCCAATACAAACTGTGGCCTCATTCTCAACTCCCTAAACTCCTACATGTAGGAACAAAAGGCCTTTTGATGCTGCATGGATTCATATTCCTGCCAGAGAAGCCAGTCTTTCACATGTTTAACAGACACAATGAATGACTGCATGCACACACATACATACTCTCTCTTCACATGCAAACACACAGGTGCACACACACATTTACCTGGTAGAATGAATGAAAGCTCCTCTCTCCTTCCTGTTGGAAAATCACCCTGGACTGTGGACAACAAAAGTGGAACAGCAGAGTTAACAACATTCTTGACTTCACTATGACCAGGTAATAGGTACGACGACCCTTCGTTAGCAGACGCGCCTTTACCTTTTCCAGCAGGTAGTTATTGATGTGGCCTCCGATGGGATCTCCCTTGAAGTCAAAGTTGATGTCCATGTATTTGCCAAAGCGGCTGGAGTTGTCGTTGCGGTTTGTCTTGGCGTTCCCAAAGGCCTCCAAGACACAGTTGGATTTAAGCAGCATGTTTTTCACCCTGTGGGACGACAGGACGAAATTACAGGTACAGATATGTCCTCTGAGTGCAACCAGCCCTATACTTCATACCTTCTTTATATTCTAATCAATCATGACTTGCAGATCGATAATCACTTGTGCCCCAAATGGCCAAAATAAAAATAATGCAGGTTTAAATATAAATAAACACACAGCACTATGAAAACAGAACCACATGTGCAAACCCTGACCAGACCAGAGACAGACATGTCCTCTCAGACTGGTCACCCCTCCAAGTCAGCGTTTGACCAGACACAGTTGGAGTTCATCAATATGTGTTTCCATTAACAAGCGGTGCCAAAAGTTTCCCCTGACACCCACTAACAACACAACAGGAAGAGGGGAAATCATAGCCGATACAGACCTCACACAGATAAGAGACAGTAATCTGCAGGGAGCAGTCAGGACGGCATATTACTGAGCTGGTCTGCCTCACTGTAAACCATGTCTATATGGGACTCCACTGCTGCTCTCACACAGTGTCCCTCCTGCTACATTCTCACTGCAGTGTCAATTTATCATTTAAAACTTGTTTTGTGAATAATTAGTGTAACAAGGCGCTGTTTTGCTTAAAAATGTGACCTTTAAAACACCAACTTTTATAACTTGATGTCTACAGATACCATTCCAACAATCATATCTAATCTCTCAGACTTTTGAACTTAGATTTCAGCTTTTCATTGTGTAAAGTGTAAGGTTATAATATGGTGGTCCTAAAATCCACCTGCGTGAGACAGAAAAGTACATTTAAAAGTGAATTTTTGTTTCAAAGAGGTATGGGAATGAACTCTGACACTGCAAGGGCTGAAATATAAAAATATACAATGCTATAATATTCTGTATTTGCTTGGACACTATCACAGAATTACAGTATACCAGGGAATGTAGAAATCCAGACGTTATGATTTTCAATACTGTTGGAAATACAGATGCTTCTCTGTCTATAGCCCCTTTTACACTGCCAGATTTTCCGTGAATGTTGGGCCGTTTTGCCGGCCAGCTGCGAGCGTTTGGACTCACAGCGGCGGATTGGCGAGTTGATCCGAGGTGCCCAATTTTCCGCCTCTTAGGGTAGACATATTGGCCGAACCCTTTTAGTTTAAACAGACCGAGGCGCCCTTCCGCAACAGGAGGGGCTGTTGAAGACTTGTGGGAGGGGCTGTTGATGACGCCGCACGTGCGACCCACTGGTGGTGGACGAACAGGAAACAGCTGATAGCAGGAATTAGTGAGCAGCTAGTAGCAAGAGGGAAATGCAAACCTGACAGACACTGTAAAGATGAGCAACTGGGAAGACAAGGAATTGTGCGCCCTCCTTGCCCTCGCAAACGAAGAGGCCAATCACAGTCAGATTCCCTCCCACATCACTGTTTACGTCACACGCTAAGCCACACATTTTGTGTTGATGTAGTGCACAGCACAACATTGCAATCAACCAATCATAGCCCTGTGACATCACCAGTGTGCTAAAAAATTCCTTTGTGCTAGCTTTCCAAATTGTAGTACATTTGAACAAAATCCTCAGTAACATTGAACATAAACACTGTAAGCTACTGCAGGGTTAGGGAGTTAGCCTGCTAACTAGGTAGGCTATGCAAATGAGTAAACTTGGATGAGGATTTTAGCGAGCTAGCTTCATGCTGATTCTGAATAATCTGTTAATGTCAACATCAACATAGCAGTGATGGTCCTGGATCAATATACAATCCTATCTAGGAACAACATGGCAATTATGTCCCTGGATCAAACAAATTATACAGGATAAAGATGAAGGTTCTGGATCAACAAGCAAATTATCCAGGGTCAAGTTGGCAGTAATGAGTCTGGATCAATACGAGTACTGCAATCTTGCAAAAAAAAATAGTTTGGAATAGGCTATTAAAAAGGAGGGAAGACTTATCCATCACAGGTCTTTGCAACTGCAAAATGACATTATCCTTACTCTTAATGTTAATGAACAATACCTTAGCCTATTGGCGAGCTTATTTGTTAGCATAGCCTACTAAGTTTGCAGGCTAACTCACTAGCCCTGCAGTAGCATGTTAGGGTTTGGTTCAGAGTTCCTAAGGATTTTGTTCAATTGTATAAATTTTAATTTGGAAAACTAGCGTAGCTCTGAAGAAGCACATAGTAATTTTGAGCAGCCCACTGATGATGTCACAGGGCTGTGATGGGTTGATGGCAATGTTTGTCATGGAAAGCATTTGGGATGTTGATCTTGGATCATGTCCTACTTGGCAAAACCACACTGTGTGCAAAAGCAGAAAGAGACACCAGTGGAAAACAACATATTTTCACATCTGACACTGGGTGTTAAAAGCTAATTTTGAACAAACCAGAGCTGGTAATTCAGATTTTGTTTGTTTCTGTCAAGTTTGAATGAAATTTTTTTTAGTTAGTCTTAGTTCGTTGAGAGAGAAAAACTTAATTTCAGGAGGTATACAATTATATCTTTTAGGGATGCACCGAAATGAAAATTCGTGGCCGAAGCCGAATAATACTAAATGCTTGGCTGAATACCGAGTACCGAATACCGAATGCTGTTTGTTAGTTTTTCATTAGTTTTTGCAGATGAACCCCCTCCAGATTAGTGTTGTCACGGTACCAAAATTCGGACCCACGGTACAATACCAGTGAAAGTATCACGGTTCTGAGTAGTATCATGATACCACAGCAAAAATGAGGCAGATGTGCCTTTTGTCATTTATAAAAAGATAAATCACTTTTCTATAATACATCAATGGTATTTCAATGGAATAAATTACTTACTGACTTATTCTTACTTCAAAAACAGCATCAATGAGCGATGAACATAGGGGGGGATCAAAATAAAATAAATAAATGAAATAAAATTCAACCAGCCACCCTCCTCCCCTGACAAGTAAAGAACAGTCCCTAAAGTGCGGTGAGGTTTGTGGGCCGTCACCTGCCACTGAAAGAATAAAAGAGAGAAATGTGAATGGCTCCTCCTCTGAGACTCCACATACTGTGTGCCGCCATGGCTCGGCTGTTCAGGTACTTTTGGGCAGTCATGACAACAAGTTATTCACCTGGAGCCGGACTTCTCCGTCGCCAGTAAGCCGTTATCATGCGCCACCGTATTTGACAGGAATACGTATTCCTGTCCGTGTCTGTGACCCCCGTTCAACCCACAACCGGTGGGATTCACTGTTCCGTTTCTGCTGCTGGTTGAAATCTGTACTCACACAGCGTGCTGAATGATTTATTTTGCCCGCACAAAACTATTTTTAGTCGCAAATGCGAGTGCGGTGACAGACGGACTAAAATATCGCCACACTGCCGACATTTTACTCCGTCCGTCACCGCATGCTGTTTGATTGCATTATCAAAACACGCCGCTATTATTCGGCCTTGCTTTTCACTTATTCCACCTAATACCGATTGTGTGGTTTTTTGCAATATTCGGCCGAATATATTCGGTTACCGAATATTCGGTGCATCCCTAATAATTTTTAGTTTAATAAGGAAAATAGGTATAGAATATTTCCTTGCCTGACATTTTGTGAATTTATTTTGTTTATTCATTAGACTAAAAATGCCAAGAGAGCTTGTGGAATGAAGTGGACTCACCGCTTACATAAATACCTTAATATTTCGTATACCTTGATGAAATGTCATAGGCTACACATACTCTTATCACATGGAGAATTAAAATTGGTATGTGACCCAAATTAGATCATAATGACCTACATTTTATTAAATTATATTCTACACTACTTTGTCCTCCCTGGTGTTTAATGTGTATTTAATGTGTGTACACTTGCACTTAGTAGATTATTTATATGTTCAAATGTTTGGGCAGCACTTTGTATTGAAAGTTGACCTTAAAACCTTTTCCTGCACAAATCTTTATCTCTGGCCTACATTTTGTTTACTTTAAATCAAAGTTTATTTGTTGCTTTCTTCCTAAAATCTGTCTAATTGATTTCAACACACTTAAAAAACCATTCTGTAATGTGGTTTGGCCTCTCCTCTGCTGTGGTGGGTGGGGCTGTTCATTTGTTATCATATGATATGGTCGAAAGCCTCATTGACCTGTAAATATCTCACTATGATCTACGACACTTTGACTACCGGCAGTATTAATCCCTGGAATATGACAATGACTTACTGCTAACTACAATAGCTACGATAAGATAAAAAAGGTGACCTAGAAAATACAAATTAATAATGAACTACGAAGCTCCTGTAGCTGTGTCAGCAACTAAAACAGACATTTTCGTTATGATGGAAAATATTCTGTATATCTGGGCATCTCATTTGGAAAGACAAAACACATCTCTGTGTAACGTATGAATAACATGTTGTTTGTGCAGCAGGAGTGACGATGCAAAACAACTGCACACTCAGAACCACAGAAAACTCCTCCCTCCCTATCTGATAATATTTGCAGGTTAGTCACCACCACACCAAACACACGCACAGCTTCTGTGTTCAGATTTAATAACAGAGTAAATAAAAGCAGCTCACCTCTCCACCTCAGCCCTCTGATTGGGATTGGTGATAGCAGCAATGTATTGCATTATATACTTGCTGGCTTCTGTCTTTCCTGCTCCACTTTCCCCTGCAAGAAAACACACACAGTGCAATGAGTCCTTAAATATAACACTTCATATTCTGGTGTCTACAATTTTGAGGCTGTCAAACCACCAAAGCTCAGATTATTTAAACAACAAGAACAACAGCCTCTTTTAGCCTGAATCAGACTGTACAGAATTCAGCTGTCACGGTCAAATCACTCCAGTTTGAGCCTCTTTACACTGGCTCCCAGTACACTATACAATAGCGGCACGGTGGTTCAGTGGTTGGCATTGTTGCCGCACAGCAAGAGGGTTCTTGGCACAAACACAGGGTGAGCACTTCTGTGTGGAGTTTGCATGTTCTCCCTGTGTCAGCGTGGGTTTCCTCCAGGTGCTCCAGCTTCCTCCCACAGTCCAAAGACATGCAGGTTAACTGGTGACTCTAAATTGCCCATAGGTGTGAATGTGAGTGTGAATGGTTGTCTGTCTCTATGTGTCAGCCCTGTGATAGTCAGGTGACCTGTCCAGGGTGAACCCTGCCTCTCGCCCAGTGTCAGCTGAGATAGGCTCCAGCGACCCCGAATAGGATAAGCGGTCACGGAGAATGAATGAATTTTACCGATTACTTTTAAGGCTCTTCATGGTCTCTCTCCCAGCTATATCTCTGACCTCTTAGTACACACCAGGACGTACTTTGAGGTCCTCTGGCAGAGGTCTTTCATCTGCTCCAGAGGCTCGACTGAAAGGGGACAAAGCTGTCAGGGCCCCGAGGCTCTGGAACAATCTGCCCGAGGAAAACTTGTCTTTCCTGATTTTACTTGAGTTTTTAAGTTCATTTTTTGTCTTTTATTTCCTGCGTTTTTATATACCAAAGTGTTTTTTATTTTCAAATGTAAGAAAGCGGTAAACTTGAACACAGAACAATTAAATCAAATCTCCCCTGCCCCCAGCTTCACATATACATAAATGCCAGATAGAGAAAAGTAAAATGCAGATAGCAATAAATTAAAGAGGCAACAGATTGCATCTCTTCCTAAATATATCATTATGAAAATAATGTGGGCTGCACAGGGTAGTGGCCACAGTAAAATCAGACTATCAGCGTTTACATAGGTTACTTAGTGGTTGTGCAATAAGCTTCTGCCACCGGCGCCGAAATTTCACAGAAAAAATCTGCTTTACGGCAGGAAACGCGTCATGTATTGTGAATTCAGATTCAGATTCAGATTCAGAATACTTTATTAATCCCCGAGAGGAAATTGTTTAAAAAAAAATTAGTCGGTCAGCCAATCAGGGACTGGAGCTGGTCCTTATGAGAAGTTGGGCATGAGATAGTTGAGTCACGAGCACAATGGCAGACGAACAAAGTTTGGAGACAAGTGAAAAACGGCCTAGCAAAAGAAAAGGAGCTCCTCTGTGTGAGGAGGCAAAGAAGAGCAAAAAGGAGAGTGATAAAAGAAGAGGAAAAACAAGAGTAAACCTCAGTCAGGTGTTCAAGAGATGGAGGGAACTCCGTGACCAAAGAGGCTTCAAAACCCATGTCCAGCTAGCTTTCTTTCTAATGGATCGGTAAGTAACACGGCTAAATGTTAGCTAGACCAGAGAGGACTGTACTGTACTGGCTGCTAGTTCATTCCTAGCTGGCCAGCATCGCAATTCGCCGCAACCAGGGACCGGGTAGCATATAGTGAAATCAATAGGGATAAGTCTATTGTTTTCACAGATATTCTAAAGAATGTCTCAAAGATAGATTTCTAAACGTTTAATAGCTTGGTGCATGACCAAAACACGTGTTGTCAATGTGGCGGGAGCTTGTTATACCAAAGTGTTTTAATCAGTTCTTTTAAAAGTTGTTGTTTCCACGTCTTCTCTGTTTTAATTATTGAAATGTAAAACACTCTGTAACTCTGTTTTAAAACAGTGCTTTTTTTAAAAAAAAACAAAAAACAAAACAGTATTATAATTATTATTACTATATTAAAAGTTGGTAGACTGTGGACAAAGAACCCTGAAGTTTCTCATTTTCATTTTAAAATCTACACTGTGCGGCACAAAAATATTTCAGTCCATCGCAGTATTTAAAATTTTTTTTTTTTAGGTACATTATTTTTTTTAGGTACATTATTTCTGTCTATGTTTTATATTTATGTCTATGTTCTGAGGGTGTTGAGAGGCTCAGTTCCTCCTCTGACCACTGAGTGGTGCTTCAGCCTCTGTGTGGTGTCTCCACGCTGCCACACAGCTTGTGACTACATGAAATATTTGTTTTAGAAAACATAAGGTGAATTGCTTTTATTAACTTAACAGCGACTACATCAATATTTGTCTTTCTCCTCTAGAACATCTCTCAGGGGACAAAACATCTGAGTATCACAGGACAAAAATGATTATTACAGCTGGACTTTATATTTATATTATAAGGAAATAAGACAAAAAAAATGCACAGAAAACATATGAACCCAAACTTGTATGTGAGATGCACAGTGTATAAGAAGAGACTAAAACATGCTGTGGTGCTGTTTCTTTGTGTGGCCCATGCAGGGGGCTTCCCATGTTACCTGAGATGACAATACAAGTGTCTTTGTTCCTCCTCTTCATGGCTTTGTAAGCAGCGTCGGCGATGGCGAAGAGGTGGGGCGGCCTCTCGTACAGCTCGCGGCCCTTGTACTGCTCTATGGTGTCGCGGCCATAGATGTTCATGGCACGGTAAGGATTGACGGACACCACCACCTCTCCGATGTAGCTGTAGATCCTCCCCTTCTCAAACCTGAGGACACACAGAATGGGCGATTTAGAAATATAATCAGATATCAGATATAAATTTGTCTTTGACCATTTAACGAAATTATGACTCCAGAAATACTCTGAATTACTCATTCTGCATTTCTGAGGCATTACTGTGTTCAAGGAAGTAAAACAACACTGGCGCTCTGCACTTTCACTTCCTTTGTTTATAGGCATTTATACATGGAATGAAAACAAACAACTCCACCCAGGTTCAGTTCAAAGAATATTTTGGACTTCATACTTGATGAACCAAAGCCTTATTTTATGCCTAAAAATTTGGAGATACAGTGCCTACAGTGTACAATGTACATAACCTTGGATACAGGGAGCACACGAACACAGTTTGTAAAGTCACATGCACTGAAATTCAAGGACTTGGTCAAACTGACATAAATGTTCACTTCTTCCTACTCCTTTATGAGCTGTTTATGTTTTGTTTTTATTTTTTGTTTTGCAGGAAATAAAGTCATTCATTCATTTGTCATTAAAGGTACAACCGAACTTTTGAGAACTGATACCATCCTGGTTTCGGTACAGTCAGATATGAGACCTATTATGCTCTTCCTTATTTTCTGTCAAATATATAATGTACATTATCGGATGTTTATATTAAATTTAAAAAGTTCAAAAGGTTTTTATTGTCAATTTGCTATATGTGCAGGACATACAGAGAATCGAAATGCTGTTTCCCTCTCACTTAGTACTAATGTTAAAAAAAAAAAAGCTAAATTGGAATAATAATAATAATACAATAGAAACAATATATACAAGTAAAATAAAAATAAGCAGTTTAACCAAAAGACAAGACACTCTAGAAGATATTCTAAACCTATGTACAATCAAAGTGCTCAAGGTGCATATTAGAGCAGCCTATGGGATGTACGTGATGTACGTAGTGCAGCAGATACGGAGTGGTGCAATGGTTAAAGTAAACCTGGCCAAAGTTTCAAATAATGAGGACGACAAATGATGATCAGCAAACTTCTTGTTTCTTTTTTCATGTGTGTGTCCCGATGTGATCATTCTGTGCCCCCTCTGTAAAGTCGGAGGTGTTTGTGGGTCCACTCAGGTGGAACTCTTCATGAGCTTCCACTTTGATGCCAGCATCACTACACAGGAGTGGAAATGTATGCACACATATTGTTGAAATTGCACTTCATTTTCTCAAGATATCTCAGGCAGTTCACTTTTGTTTTGTAAAAGCATGAATGTTTTCCAAATTAACTTCTTCACACTGAAAGAAAAGGAAACATTTGGAGGTGTTGTAATTCATACAGTAGGTTATCATGCCATGATTCTACAGGTCTGATCCACTTGAGACAGTGGCGCAGATGGGATTTTTATACATACACACATAAACACACACACACACACACACACACATATATATATACATATACACATATATATATATATACACACACACATACTGAAGCTGCAATAAACATTAGAATCTTGAGTTTTCTGACTGAATGAACATTGGTAAACAAAGGCCTACCTGATCAACACTAGCCATACATGATCAAACTGTTGCTGCTTACTAAAATATCATTATACATAGAAATAACAACATTAAAGATATTCACCTACAGCCTAGAATGATGTTATTTTACATTTAGCCTACTTCAGGTAAGTCCAAATGCCTTCTTATTATTCATTCAGGGACATCCATCATGCAGGAAACTTGGAAAGTAAGTATATAAAAGTAAATAATTACCCTTATTAACAGTATAAAATGTTAATTTGTGATTTTAGACTTTTACTTTATCACAAGATAAACATCAGCCATTGTAAATATGTTTATTAGGTACTAAAACTGCTGACATAAGCCATAAATAATACAACACTGAATCTATGTGTCCCATCTGTCCAAGGGGACAATTTGCATGTTACAATCTGACAGATGTTTGTTCTCACACGTTCTGTCCCTGTCAATGAGGAAGTCAATATAATAAAAGTTTCTCTCCCACTCCCTCACTTTCCATATGTGTTTCTGTTAATGTTACAGCACACAAGGACATGACAATCGTGTTCTTCCAGCTTTGTGACAACAGTTTGTGCTTGTCCCCTTCCTGTTTCAATATAACAATGTCCCCATCCACAAAGCCAGCTACATAAAGAAATGATCTCCCCAGTTTGGTGTGAAAGAACTTGACAGGTCTGCGCAGAGCCTCAACTCCATCCAATATCTTTTTGACTGGACAACAGCAAGCAGCAACTACACGGCTTTCAAGCCAGTAGTCCGCTTTGTGCCTCCTTTAAATTGACAAGCACGATCGAACGTTCAATGATTCGTGATGAGCGACTAGAGCGACCAAAGCTACCACAAATATTTTTGACAGTCGTGCTTCCTGGGCGTCCACGATAGACTTTGCCTCTTTGGAAGCTTCTGGTGTGAACGTACAGTTAGGCTTTCCATGTAGGCGTATGGAAGGGCAGGGAGGTTTGATCACTCTGCCTTAGGCTTTCCTCATTATGCACACTGCAGGGTGGAGAGGTGTGATCTCTCTGCCAAAGGCGCTTGGAAAAGGTGTAGGCCCGAGGAAAGGCAGAGAGGCTCCAGAATAGAGCCATAGTGTCAAATATAATACTGCAAATAGAAAAACGTTTTTTTGACGAAAGTGTTCCTTATTTAGAGTTGTCAAAATGATGCGTTAATTTAAACTAATTAATCACAGAAAACAATAATGTGTTAAAAAATGAACGCTGATTCATTGCGCTCAGTGGTGCCCTTTGATGCAGTTCAACAATGAAGGCCACAGTGGCTTTGTCACATGATGGGGGCAGAGGAGACGACGCTGCTCGGCCCTGCGAATGGAACATTTACATTTAAAAAACTCCCAGATGGAACTCTTGATAGGAGCACAATTCTCTGCAGTTTCTGCTGTAAGGAATTTACATACAGTCGGAGAACTTCAAGCCTGAAATGTCTGCTAAGTGCAAAGCTTTTAGCAGTGAACCTGGACGTCTACGCTAGCACAGCCTCTGATGCTAACGCTAGCAGCCTGTCTTGTCAAGCCACGCTCAGCCAGGAGTTCAGACGCAAGCTGAGTCAGTCTACCTGTGACCGACGACCTAACTTCCTTGCAAAATGGACTGCAATGGACAGCAGACCAGTTTCAATGGTAGAGGACAGGGGGGACAACTGTGTGTCCAAAATCCAGTAGCAATACGACACATCTGCCAAAATTCATTTGAATTGAAAATTTTTTAAATACTTTCACAGCATAAGTTCATGTATGCCACAGAGTATGTGATTAATTAGATACATTTTTTTAACCCCTTGACAACCCTACTATCACTATGACATTGCTGTAATATCCTGGTGTCTATATACTTTTAGAGATTGGAGATATGCTGTAGCTCTATCTCACTCCGTCACACAATCTCTCCCTCTCTCCCTGCCCCAGGCCACATGCCTGACTTCCTTCCTCTCCAAAGCGGCCGAGGATCCCAGTTTCTCTCCACAGAAGAATGGCCTCTTTCTTCACAGCTGCCAAACCTCTGCCGCTGCCTCGCAAACAAGGCCAAAACCATATTATTCCAAAACAATCCTAACAGCCCTGTGGATCAATACGCATTTGTGATTGTGGCTTTAAAGCAGCTGCCAGACGAAATCAATCAAGCACTGTTATTTGCTTAAAGTCGTGCCAGATACTGAGATATTATTTCTTTAAATTAAAATGCTGACTTGTTGTTAGGACGATAAATCTAGAGTGTTGTGCAGTTAGCGCAGTATTTGTCAACCTAAAAGGCCTTCAGCACCAAACAAAACATTTAGGGTGAGGCTGCAGACGAATGTCCGTGACACTGATGTTGTTTATCAGTGTTTCCTAAACCTCCAGGTTATATGCAGAATTAATGTATATTCAAACAGTAGATAGAAACAACACTGCTTTACCACCACTGTATGTCCCCAACACTGTGCAGCACTGTATGTGCTCAGATTAGCTCATCTGTGTGTGTTCAGATTTGTATGTGAGCATTCATACTGTATGTCAGGCCATGTACAAACTGCCACGACTGGCTTGACAATGACATGGGATGCTCATGTGTCCTGGACAGGGACGGACTGCCAGAGCATGGTGGGATAAAGATGCAGAATAAAATGCTTCGGTTTAAAATAAAGCTAATTTCTAACATCAAGAAGAGAAACAATATTCACTGAAGTTTGGAAGATAATTCACACTACAAATCACCGCTAATCACTTGAAGAGTTATGCATCTGTTTAAAGAACACATTGAAACCACACCTGCCTGGAAGAAGAGCTCATAATGAATGCAAAAGACTGAACTTTGTAGCATGCACGCTTCACACTGCATAGAATAAGCAGGTCCACCGTAATTTCTCCAAGCAGCCAACATGCTGCAGCTACAGAAAAAGGCCCATTGTGCCCCCCTCCCCTCAGTCAGGAGGCTGCTGTGTGCCCGCTCCATTGTTCAGATGTCAATCGGAGGTCTTTGTCTGAGACCTCTCCCCCTACATGGGCCAACACAGCGAGCTTCCCACTTAACCCACATGTACAATAGCTTCTGGTCAACAATGGTTTACATGATGGGAGGGGTGTTTCTGAAGCCCCAGCTGGGTGTGCATAGACAGAAGGTGACAGGGTCTGCTGTCTGTACAGGTGTTTCCCAAACTGGACACTGAGCTGGTCCCAAAGAGGGGATATAGGGAAACTGATGTGGGCACCAACCTGAACTAAAGATGGCTCATAAACACTTTGTTGTGCTGTTCACATTCAATATATTCAAATATGTTACTCATACTGAGTGATAAAAGGAGGTGTACACACTTTGCTTTTACTGTTAATACAGAGGTCGATATTGCTTAAGAATATCTGCATGTATTAAACCACTGTGGACAGCAGTGTTGGGAATAATTCCACTACTACACTTTGAATGAGTTGAATGAGTTCCCTCTGAGCAGTAAGTCACTAAAAGAGTCTGAGAAGTCCGGGGCTGTTCATAAAAACATTC